CTTGAAACCTTGTCATGAGTCATTGATCCTTGATATCTGTTCATGTAGCAGAGTAACACATTAAGAAATAAATTGGAATTTCTGTGTAAGGTTAAGGTCAACCATGGGTTTTAGTCAGTATCTGTAGGTTTGTTGTTACTGAGCTGCAGATTTCTCAAAGACAAACCTTTCTCCCTTTGGCTTTTAAGGTTAAGAGCATGGCTAGTGACAGCCTGGCACTGAAGTGAGGACAGAGAACCTGGAGGCCTCAGTGTTCAGATGTAAACTTGATTCCTTCACGTCTGGGCTACAGTACATCCCCCTTTATCGCAGTGTTACTCAGTGCAGTTATGGTTTATTTTTGCCAAGAATAGAAGACAGATCTTTAGCTGAAGAGGTGGGGCTACTGACAGTTGCTTTTTAAAACAACAACCAGACCTATCTTTACTTTCAAGGTAGTTGGAACCACCAGGTTTTGACTATTTGCGGGGCTTTGGCATATAATCTGGGTTAGTTCTTAGCTCTCTTTACTGAAAGCCTGGAAGGGAGTTTTTAGAAATCTGGAACTACCCTCCATCTATTTTTTTGCTTCAAGAATTAGTTGTTAAGCTCTCTTCTTCCCACTTGTTCTGAAAAAGTTTATATTTGCAAAACCACCTTTTTACTGGTGTGTTTGTGGGGTAACTGGAGGAAGGAAATCTAAGTCTGCCGACTTTCTTTGTAAGAAAATGACAGGTACAATTCAGAAGGTGAATCTTGCAGCCATATCCAGAATGTCACAACAGAGCCGGAGAATGCAAGTCATAGGAAAAGAATCAAGCAGTAAGAGACTTCTACTTAGGATGAAGGTAGATCCCTTCCTCACTTGGCGTCCAGAGACTTACCGGGCATTTGTACTCTCTAGCTCTCTCGTGTTTCAGGGTGTGCATGATGAGGGCGTACCGCGTCTGGAAAAGCACCCCGCATTCTCCACACTTGTGCGAGGCTTCTTCACTGTGCTCCTTGGGATCTCTTCTTGGCTGCTTCATCTTCTTTCCTCTTTGAACTAATTTCTGGGCCACCTAATGAAGAGAGAGAATGCACAACCTAAGTAAGTATACTTGTTTTGATTGTTAAAGTTATGAGACGAATTATACATAACTAACAGAAACTTTTCAGATTCACATCATCTGTTTGTATTTAAAGTACTAAGTTGCTTCCTTGCACCCCTCCCAAATAATGCCCACCGGGACATAAGTTTATGAATAAAACGCTTTCAACGTAAAGCTAAACTACTAAGAGCGACCTTTTTATACCACACCTGCTGAATTGCTGACTTGGGGACACCCTTCCGCTTCTGCAGCTTTTTCTCCAGTCCCTTGTGCAGTCGGATATATCCGCCTTCAGTAACCGAGCGCTGCCGAAGCTTGCTTCTGTACGTCTCATCATCCGAGCCAAGCTCTGTCTTTTCGACAGGTGCAGCTAGATCTTCCTGATTGCTTACAGGCTGAGCAAGGTTCTGACCATGTTCTGGAATTTTCTCAGCACAGACGTCCTCAGTTGACTTATCATTTTCCTTAACACTGTCCATTGGGGAGCTACTGATTACACTGTTGTGTGAAAGTGAAGGATGAGTATTAAAGACTTTGCTTTCTTCTCTGCTGTCTGAAGACTCGAGTTCTGCCTGCTTATTTTTGGATGGTGAATCATCAGGTTCCACTTTAGTATGGAAATCAGTGACACACCCAACAGACGACAGACCACCCCCGGCCTCTGAGGACACCTGGGGCTCAGCCTGTCGTCCTCCCGCTCCATTCTGCTCAGCCTCTGGCACTTCTCCGTTTACGAGGAGTACAATGTCACAGCCCCCACGTTCTGTCGGCAGAGTTGGCGTAGCTCCCTCAGTGCTCACCACAGGAGTTGCTATTTCTCCATTCCGTTCCGGTAAGTCCTGGGTAGATGCAACTGTCTGTACTTCGCCCTTTTTGTACACCGTTAACTGCTTCTCTTCCATCAGTTTGTGTACACTTTCACAGATCTCTAAAACTTCTGACATGAAAAGATGACGAGCCAGGATGGCTACATCAGCCATGCTACAGAAGTCAAAACTTAGCACAGACGTATAGGCAAATTCTAGCAAAGGAAGGAAACTTGCCTTACAAAAACCTGCGTGACAGAAGAAAGGCAGGGAGTGAGGGGAGTCATTCGCCACTAAACCATCAGACAAAGACAAATATACACAATGAAGACAAAATAAAATATAAAGAGAAATATGACCATTGATTCTGGATTTTGTTTTGTGTTCCATTTGCTTACTAAACCTTAATTAACTCACTTCTATGAGCCCAAATCGTTCACTATCTAAACCTCAGAGTTGTTATAATGCGATCATTTTCCAACGGTATTCCTACAGGATCCCAAGGGTTCCACAAATTCTCCTCAGGAAACAGTTGCGAGAGGATGCAGGGTAGGAAAAAAATGAGTACGCAGGGGGTTGACCAACTTAGGCCCTAACCGCACTTCAGGAAGTATTGCTGTATTTAATAACAATAAAAATCTAAAGAAATCTAGAGAGGGGATTTAACAATTCATCGAAAATGGAATGAAAGATAATGGAATTTTTCCAGAAGTGTTTGAAGTCGCGTCATATTAAAATTTGAACAATGTGTTCCACAACTGAAAATGTAAAAGCCAAGATCTAAGGTAGGGGTCAGCAAATATTTCTGCAAAGTATTTCATGGTATACATGACAAGCCTGAAGGCCTATGCTGCAAGGACTCAACTCTGTCAATAGCTAAAGACAGCAGCCATACGTAAAACATAAACATATGGACATGACTATGTCCAATACGATTTTACTTACAAAAAAAGCAAGAAAAAAAGCTTGTGGTCGGGCTTTGGTTTTACAGCTCTGATCTACGTAAGCACACTGAATACCACACTCTCACTCGCTTTGAGGAGCTGGGTTCATTCAGCTGTGGTGGCAGCCAGGTGACAGACTGCTGCCTGCAAGGAGGGCAGATCAAGCCCGCCAGCTGCTCTTCGGGAGAAACGCGAGCCTCCTCGGCCAATCCAGGCGGGATGTGCAGCCCGGCGAGCCCTGTGTAGGCTGTGCGCTGGAACTGACGTGCTGCGGTGCCTTTTCTGAGTTACAGTCAGGTTTTGTTCTAAGTTGCCAGTGCTTCAACTTTCCGAAGCAATTATAGAAATTGAATACTCATATGATTAAAAATATGTATAGTTGCCCAGCATTTGTTTACACAGCCAAGTAAATATTCTTATCTCAATTGTTATACTAGGTGTCACTAGCTTGTTTATACTATTCTTTATAAAACTAAACTTTTTTCATTTAAAAAATTATCTTGGAGACCTTTTGTTAATACAGAGAGAGCCAACATAATCTTTAAAAAAACCTCACATTTGCTATGCTTTCCAGTTTTGACTCAACTAAAACCACAGACCCACTGCTGTGGCGTTAATTCTGAGCTAACATGAGCATACAGGGCAGAGCAGAACTGCTCCCCAGGGTTTGAGGCTGTAAACCTTTATGAAAGCAAAAAGCCTCATTTTTCTCCAGAAGCACTTGAACCACCAACCTTGAAGTGAGCAGCCTGATACATAACCCATTATGCTACAGGGGCCTCTTTTACACAGGAAGATAGAGGTTATGCAGAATATGGAGAAACTTCAAGCTGTGAGATATATTAGAAGTTGAAAATGAGGAAATACATCATGGCTAATTGAAGCAATCTTAGAGCTGATAATTAAATTTCTTCTCTGGCTTTTTAATATTATTGGTGGTCTTTTCTTTATTACTCTTT